AAAAGAATTACATAAAATATGATTACATCCTTAACTATGATAAGTTGCGTCGAGTTACATCTACAGTTGATCTTGGTGTAACACTAGATCAAAAACTACGTTTCGATGTTCATGTAGATGGTGTGGTTGCTCGATCATACAGAATGCTGGGCTTTATAAAGCGATCTTCCGAGGATTTCACAAACCACAACGCAATTATAAGTATGTACAATGCATATGTCAACAGCATCTTAAACTTTGGTAGCGTAATCTGGAATCCTCAATATTCCGTATATATCACTAGGTTAGAAGGAATCCAGAAACGACTGATTAAATATTTGTGTTATAAAACCCAACAAGTGTACAGTAACTATGCGTCTGGTTGTGAAATGTTCGGATTGCTAACGCTCTCCCAGCGACGAGCATATAATGACGTTTTATTTTTGTACAAGCTTGTCAATGGTCATACTGATTCCCCATCGCTGATGGCGAGAATTGATTTTCATGTTCCTCCTCGTCAGTTACGGTACGACTTCCTTTTTTATATGCCCACTCCACGAACAAACGCATATCGTAACTCGCCTATTCTGAGGATGGAAAGAACCGCGGATCGGGTGAGTTGCGATCTTTTTTCGAGTAACCCACGAAATATTAAGTTTGCGGTCCGCGAGGCTGTGAAGACTGCGCACATGATGTATAATTTAAATATTTAATAATGTTAATAATGTTAATTTAATATAACAACATATTTGTAATCATATTAAATATTACTTTAAGGTTTTCGCATATAATAATTATGTGGAGCAACTTTATTGGGTTTGTCCTGTTGTTGCTCCCCGATATCAATAAATAAATAAATAAATCTGTATGAGCCTGCATTAAGAGCACTTTCACGTTTTTTCTCATGGAAAATGTTTTGGTCAATTTATATTTGTATTTCCGTTATTTGTTTATACCGGAATTTGTAATAAAAATAATTAAGAATTACGAAACCCAGTTTTTAAAGAAATGAAGTACTTCTACATAATAAATGTATATTAACAGGTTATTCGAGTGTTTCTGACACTTTACTGGATGAGATTAATATGGATGATGAATCTTCTATTGGTAAAAATGAATTTGATGAAACTACAGCCGCTGTCATTAATGCTGAAACCAGTACATCTTCCATTGAAGGTATAATATATCAAAGTGAAGTCATAATTATTACTGATGAAGAAGATGAAGATTGCTTAACGGTTTTTATTGATAATACGAATATTTATTTAAAGATTTATTAACGGATGTTTTTGCAGGATAAAAAATATGACGAAAACCTTAATAATACGGCAACAATTCAAAGTGAGTTTCAGGATGGTGTAAAGTTGATTTTGGTAAGAATATTAAAAAACTTAAGCAGGAGATTTGTTTCTTCAATCCCGTTAGCAACTCGAAATGACACGCTAATTCAGGATAAAAAATGTTAATTAAATGTTAATTAATAAAATGCTAATTCATTCACCAATAATTATTTCGCTTTGTTTATTAAAGCTTTTTCAGGGTTTGAATTTTCTACAATCAAACAACATATTAACCTTAAAGTTAAGAAAAAACTATTAAAGTCTTACAATTGTTTATGAAAAGGGCGAAACAATTAATAAAATCAGCTATAACACACATCTCAAACCATGTGAGAACCGTAAAGGTTGAACATCGGTCAAATAATAAGAACAAGTAAAACAAGTTTTGAACTTAAAACACGTGTTTGTCGTGAAGCGGGAAAACGTGGAATTAAAATTTAAATTTTTTTGTTGTTTGATTGTAGAAAATTCAAACCCTGAAGAAGCTTTAATAAAAAAAGCGAAATATTGGTGAATGAAAAAATAATTGTTCTTTAGTGTCCTCAATCCTATACTGAATTAGCGTGTCATTTCGAATATTAATTAAAAAAATACTATGAATAGTAGCATTCATTTAAATTATATAGGATAAAGAAAAGACTTACAGGACTCCTGAAGAATCTGAAGAACAGGAATTTCAATCGTTGGAACAAATTAAATCAGGAATAAATGCATCAGAGAAAGAAATTAATTCCGGGAATGAATCTGAAGAACAGGAATTTCAATCATTGGAAGAAATTAACTTAGGAATAAATGCACAAGAGAGAATAATAAATTCCGGGAGTAAAATATCGATAGAATTGGAAATAAAAGATCAATTAAATGTTGTAGATGATTTACACAAGAATGGAATTTCTCCAGCACTAAAGCTTCAAAGTCGGAAAGAAATCGAAATGTTGGAAGTAAGTGACTCAGATCAGCAAATGACTTTCACAAGCACAAATCCAATCGAACTGGAAAAACAAAGGATGGTTACTGTAGGCTTGGATCAAGAACAATTTAAAGGTGTTAACGATTTGAACGAGAAAATTTCTGAAATAGAAAAGGTTCAAACTCTTCAAGAAGAAGTCCACAAGAAAAAACTAAAAGTAAACGAAAGTCAAGAAGAAAATGCTGAGAAACAAGAGAAAAATAGCACAAAGAAATCCAATAAAAAAGATAAGAAAGTTTCTAAAAATATTGTTATCATAAAAGATGAAACAATAAATATGATAGATAATAGAATGGTTTTAAGAAGCAGAAAACCAATTAAATCGGAAAAAGTAAAGGTTGATTATGTAAACTCCGGTCAAAAACAATCAAAAATTAGTCAAGATCATGCTCATGAAATTTCTCAAAATGATCATAAAGATCACGAAAATATTGAGAAGAATGTCGTAGCCAAAAAATTTGCAAAGAAAAAATCAAAAATATCTAAATTAACTCACGAAAACGCCCCCCAAAATGATGATAATGACAGCAACGTTTTAGAAAATAAAGAAAGTGTTATAAAGAAAGAATCGAAGAAAAAGTCAAAATCAACCACATTAACACCTGAAAAATCTTGTCAAATTGATCGCAAAGAGAGTGAAGATGTAGAAAATATTAAGGAGAAAAATTTAATAAAAGAATTTAAAAAGAAATCAAAAACAACCAAATCAGCCGTCGATGAAATTTCCAAAAATGATCACATAAACAACGAAATTATGGAAAATAGCGGGACTACCCTAATACAACAATCCCATAAGAAAAAGTTGAAAAACTCAAAAACAACCAAAGTTGATTCGTCTCAAACTGGCCTTAAAGACTCTGAAATTGCAGAAAATATTGATTATCGTAAAGATAAAAAAAGTATGGAATATGTAATTAAAACATCTGACAAGAAAAAATCAAAAACAACCAAGGTCACTTCTACGAATTTGTCCCAAACTGATCACCATAAAGACTATGTTTTAGAAAATATTAAGAAGAAGGATAAGAAAATGGGAAAATCAAATAAAACGGCTCGCAATGAATCTTCCCAAAATGATCACAAAGATTATGAAAATATGGAAAATGTTATGGAGGATGTGACACAAAAGGAATCTAAAACAATAACTAAGAAAATTCGTGAAAAAGTTATGATATTAAAAGATAAAGTGTACCTCGATGAAATTGATAACTCATCTTCACAAAACATAGAGGAAAAATCTTATAATTCAAGGGCATCTAATTCGACAATAATCAGAAGAAGACGACGCATTTCTTCCCATCATAATCCTTTAAACAGTTCTGATGATGAGGATGAACAAGATGTAAGCGAAGGTATAATTGAAGCTCTGCCTTTGATTGATAAAAAATCAGACGCAACAGTAATGAATCTATCGGATCGTAATGTTGAGTTTTCTCNGCAGAAGAATCCATATTGATAAGAGTTTGTGTATACAAGTCAAGCGTTATACAGATTGATTTTTGTGCCGACTTTAAAATCACCAAAGCGCATAAACACGTAAAGACTTGCTTTACTTTATTTCGATATACAGAATGAGTCACACTTGATACACAAAGAATTGTCCAGAACAAGGATTATTTAATTAGGTGTGCGACACGTCATATCACTATTTATTTTGTAATAGAGATCCTTATGTATTCCCAAATATGCCTGTGAAAAAAATTATTACAAAACATTGAAAAATTAAAAAGTTTTTTAATTCCGTACCTAGAAAAACGACAATGTTCGCGCCGCAACTCCGCAAATCTCCTTTCCGGTTAAATGTCTCGTACCGCAGCGAACGTGTTAAGTACTCACATTATGATGTTGTCGGTTAAGATACAACCCATGTTCGCGAATTTGAACAATGTATTTGTAGGTATTTGATATACCTAAAAAGTATTGTTTTAAAAACATTTATTCTGTACTTTAATTTGGCAAAAACTTAATTCAACGTCATTCTTTTTAGATTCAAACTTGTTGATATTTTGACTGCATCTAATTCTTATGAATATCAAGTATTAATTCTAGAAAATTTATTTCTGGTGTGTACCGAACAAAAACTTATGAATTTGTCAAACGATATGTTTCCGGATGCAGAGTCATTACAATATGGTCTAAAAAACTTTGATATGAAACATTTCAATTATTCGGCACGCACATTTCTTAATATAACTAATCAAATTTATGAAAGAGTTTTATCGGTAATCGTCGATGCCATTGATATTGATGGAAATCCAATTTACGGACCAGTGGTATGCTTCTGTTACTACTGATTTATTTTATTATATTTTATAAACTATTTTTATAGGACACAAGATACCAACGTCAACCATTGTGGGTTGATTTCAATAAATATTCAATTTCAATTTATTGTGAACAAAAATCAACAGTATTTTGTCAACAACATGGAAATAATATGATGTGGGAACTTATTACAGTCTTTTATGATGATATAGACGATCATGCTCATTTTAAGTAATTTTTAATCATCTCTTGAGTTTTTCTTATTAAAATATCTATACATTTAAGGTCTGCAAACGTTAATAGTACCCTTGTATTTAAAATATTCTTAAAAGACAAAGTGGACGTTATTTTTTACTCTACACGGAAGGAAGAAAAATGCAAAGTTGTTTCGATGGTGATTAATAATAGCAAGACATTTGAAGGAATAATGAATACGATTATATCTAGGATAAATGTATTCAAAAATATACAATCACACAAGGGTCTCCCCACTACCGGTATGTCTACTTCTCTTCTTTTTTTCCTACTAATATTGAATAATATTATTAATTTTAGAATTTGATGAAACAATGTCTACAATCGCTAATCGAACTCAATCGTTTAAATCATTAAATGAAATGTATCAATTTTCTTCTCCTACCTCCTCTTTAACAGTACAAAGTCCATCACAAGATTACACACGTTTACTTAGTAATCAAGTAGCAGCCGATAGTACTGTTGATGATGATTATTTAACCAATATCAATCAGAGGCATCCATCAAACATTCTTCAGTGTACATCGTTTATTAAACATGTATCGATTGCTCAAGGTAAGTACAATTACTGATTTCTTGTCCCACTTGACAATAACAATCAAAAACCAGAATTGTTTATAAGCTGTGCATGGCGTAGCAATTTATTATTTAAAAACTTAAATTTAACCTGTCTTTAAACTCAATGAATTCTACATTTTACATTTTCGCAAATGTTTTCCACTTCAGATATGACGTTACCTTAAGTAATTATTACTAACATTTGGCAATCAAGTTTCTTAACAAATAATAAGATCATTATATCACTTAAGACTAACGCTAATTATCTGTAGAACAGCTTGAGAAGTTTCGGATCAATGAAAAAATAGCATCATTAAAATGATAACTCTCGGTAGGAATGCACTCCTCTAGGCGGCCTTTAAAGTTTCTCATAACTCACCTTTAACTATTGGCTGTCGACCTACACTTTAGCCTTTAGATAGCCTCAGACAAAACTCACAGGAGTTAAGTTCTGGGGAGCATAGAAGCCAGAGAACATCACCACTTCGAAAAATCGCGCGTTGGCGAAATGTCGTTTTCAGTCTATGGAAACCCGCGTGGTATGACCCGAAGCTCTGTCCTGTTGGAACCAGATACTGCCAGTGTCAATGTCATTTTCTTCAATATGAGGAATTAAAAATACTTGAAGTTCTATTACGAATTCCACACCACACTGTCATCTTTTGGTTACGTAGAAGCAGTCGATGTAATTCTAGCGGAGTATCAGGTGACCAATAGCGACAATTTAACTTTTTGACAAAACCGTCAAAAAAAGTGAGCCTCATCTGACAACATCACTATTACATCTAATATACACACTGAATTTCTGATGTTGACGGTAGTCTATCGGAAACAGCCCTTGAACACCCATAATTTTGTAAGAGTGAAAATGTAGATGTTTAGATAAAATGTTCTTGTCTAGTTGACTGGCTTAGACTCTGAATAAGACATTCTTACGCGATCGACATTTTCCTGTGGGAGTACATTCGACCACTCTTCTTTATCTTCACACTACCGACTCGCTATTGTGAAAAAATTGTCCGATCCCACCGCTCCATTACAAAAACCTCCGTTTTCGTGTAACCTTCTGCTTCAGGTGTCGTCTCAATTCCAAAGGTTGGCAATCATTAAGATGATTTTGTGACCACACTTGACCACTTTCAATAATTGCTTGCTGGTACATCCCTAAGGTTTCTTATTGTTAGTCATGACTTTCGTCTCCTTCCTATCAATCAGTTTTTGATCAATCAATATTGACTGTACTAGATTTAGAAAAATAATACACTGTTGGAAATAATTCACGAGCACACCCTGTATAATCTGAACGCGTGTGTCTAGCGCAATAAAATTTGGTATGGAAGTAGTACTAAAGTAGTGTAACTTACTCTCACATGGAGAGCGGCATAACTCTGCTGGGAGCAGAAACATCAATAGCGAGAGTATCCCCCGTGAGCTTCGCGTACCATCGCTACACGACGTGGCATGGAGTCTATAAGTCGCTGTATTGCAGCGAGAGGGATGGCCAACCATGCCACCTCAACTCACCTCCATAGCTCCTCAACGTTAGCCAAGGAAGCCGGATAACGTAGAAGTCTCCGACCAGTCATGTCCCAAACATGTTCGATCGGATTCAGATGCGGAAACCGAGCTAGCCATGGAAGCATTCGTATATGGTGCTCTTCCACAAAGGTCTGTACAACACGTCCGATGTGCTGTCGTACGTTGTCGTGGATGTATAGCAGACTTGGGAGCCGCCGAACGTAGGGAAGCACAACGGACCGTAGCACCTCATCTACGTATCGTTGACTCGTCATGGTCTGCTATACACGCAGCAGACGTGTACGTCCACCATATGTAATCGCACCCCATACCATAATGCTCGGTTGTCGGTGGATAGGGCGTTCTTGCACATACTGCTCGAGTAGACGATCACCACGGCTCCGACGAACTAAAATTCGCGCATCACCGGTGCTCAATTCGAATCTTGATTCGTCGGAAAACAAAATGTCCCTCTACTCGGCAACCTGCTAATGCCTAGCGTCGACCCACTCGTGACGTATGCTGCGGTGCTCGGGTGTTACTGGAATCCGCTGTATCGCACGACGCGCTCGCAGTCTACTATCTACCAAACTACGCGAACTGTACGGCGGACAGTTCGCGTAGTGAGTGCGCCTTCCCATGCCGGTGGCAAAACAGCTCCAAGTTGTCTTGAGGAGGACACACACGACGCTAAAGCGCTGAGCAGAAGAGCGCGATCCTCGTGTGCTGGGGACGCGCAGGACCGTCCCGGCCGCGGCTGGAGGTACCTATGTCCTACCTCACACCATTCACAGAACGATACACCCTCAATGTGCATACCCACAAACATTCCTCGCTCAAACTCGCTTAAGTAACGCGATCGCCCATCCATTGCGCACAGAGTACGATAACAATGTGGTTCCTCACACCACACTAAAAACGACCGGTATTTTCCATCCACTTCGGTCTCCATAGCGACGGAATGTTGCACTTGGAAGGGTGGCTCAGACAACAATGCCGCGACGGAACAACTCGAAACTCCCTGAATAAACTCGTTTACAGTAAACCTTTGTGCTCCGCAAATATTATGGACTTATCTTCACGCGTTCAGATCATACAGGGTGTGCTCGTGAATTATTTCCAACAGTGTATAAATGGGGGAAAAAAATTTAAAATCTACACCAAAAAATTGTGGATTTTTCCACAAATCGTTTATAATGATTTTATCGCCTATATCCACTACTTTAATAATAATGCCTTCTATTGAATTAAATAAACTTAATTACAATGTATAAATAAAATATGTAAGGCGGGATCTAGATGGCACATCAAAAATGTGCCCCTGCTCACACCCAACCCACTAACGAAAATTTTATTACAAACCAAACCCAAGATAGCGAGCAATGTCACGGCAATTTGTCTCCTGTCTCTTTACGTCGATTCCTTCCGTTGTCCAGGCTTCTATCCCATAGTACAGCACTGATAGTACGTAACATATTATCATTTGTATTTTTTATTCAAGGTTTAAATCTGGGCAATAAAGAAGTCTGTTCATTTCTATTTACAGAAATACTTCTTGTCCATTCGTTTAATCCGTATTTCTTGAGAGTTAGTGATTTGAGTTAAATACGTGTCTTTAGTGATTTGAGTTTTTTATGAAAACGACAAAGGTTTTTAAAAAATAATAAGAGTAAAAAAGTTTTAGAATTAAATTCCACATGAAATGAGGTAATAACGTATTAAATCCGCTAAAAGGTTAAAAAAATCTCAAAATTTAGGGGACCATCACCCTTAATCAACCCTTTAAAATACCTCAATTGGTGTCAACTTCCTACCAATTAATACTCTTGGTACACTCATA